AATTTTAACCTCGCCCACTATAATTTTATTATAAAAATTTTTTTACTCAAAAAAAAAATACAAAAAAAATTTAAGCAAAAAAAATTTGTAAAAAAAAAAAAAAAAAAAAAAAAAAAACTACTAGTATAAGTTATAATTATAAAAGATTTTTAAAAAAATACCAATTCAAAATTTTGTTTATAAAACCATTTATAAGATTCTAACAAAAAAATTTTTTGCAAATTTATATATAAAACTTTTTGTAAAATTAATTTAAAAATTTTTTTATTAAATTTAATTAAGTTCTTGTTAAGTTATCTTTGTTTAAAATTTCAAAAAAATTACTTAGAAAAAATTTGGTACGTTTCTACTAACTCACTTCTATATATTTATATACAAATATTTTATAAATTATTAATTATATATAAAAAATTTCTATAAAGACATAATCTTGGTTTTGCCAATAGTATTACCAAAATCTTTGTAAGTCATGTGGCGCAAACCTGCAGGTGCTACTATACATACAATATATAAATAGATAAAGGTTTTTTTTTTGCTTTTGCTTTACGATAAAAAGTTTTAGAAGTTTTTATCAAATATATATATACTACGAAAATGGCTGATGAATTAGATGTTGAAGCAATGTTAGAAGCTCCTTTTCAAAAGGGCCAGGTGAAAATTATTTACTCTTATTATCTTCTCATTTGATCTTTTTAATCAATTTTTTGTCATGTATAGGAATCCTCGGTTACTCACAGCACTAACGGAAAAAGTCGATCGGACCAAAAAGACGATATAAAAAGGTTCATATACTATTTTGCAATTAAACAGAGTCGTCAGCACTACTTTGAGCTAAACATCACAATAATATATTTTCTAGTGATGAACGACGACGTCATCGAAGTTCCTCGAGAACTTCTAGTCACCGACATAGATCACATTCTAGATCTCGTCGTTCGCGAAAGTCACGTTCTAGATCTCGCGATAGACACAAAAGACATCGTAGTCGAACTAGATCGCGTGAAAGAAGACGAAGGAGCCGTACTCGTTCTAGGGAAAGGCGTAGAAGAAGTCGTAGCACACGCAGAAAGAGTCGTAGCCCAAGCAGATTTAGGTAAGCCAGTTTCAAGAACAAGAATTTACAGACATAATATGTTATAATTATCAATATTTTTGCTTTCTTAGTGACCGTCGGCGGCGTTCACCGACTCCTCCTTTAGACGAAGAAGAACGTGATAAACGTACAGTATTTGTTATGCAATTAGCTGCGCGTCTTCGAACTCGAGAACTTGCTGATTTTTTTTCATCGGCTGGCAAGGTTCGAGATGCAAAAATTATTGCTGATAGAATATCCAGAAGATCAAAAGGGTAATTAATTGTTTATGATTCGTTAACATACATATATAATTATTAATAAATGCTAATTATATAAAATCATATTAATTTCTAGGGTCGGTTATGTCGAATTTTATGATGAAGAATCTGTTCCGAAAGCTTTAGCCTTGACTGGGCAAAAACTTCTAGGAATTCCAGTGATCGTACAATTGACCGAGGCGGAAAAAAACAGGCAGGCTAGATTAGCAGAACAAGCGTGAGTTTATACTTCAATTTTATCTCTCTGTTAATACTTGAAACATGAATATCTCTTTTCTTACATAATGTCGCGTACGTAGAGCTTCCCATGCAACAGATATTGCTTATCATCGGTTGTACGTTGGGTCGGTTCATTTTAATTTGACAGAAGATGATTTGAGACAAGTTTTTGAGCCTTTTGGGCCATTAGAATTTGTTAACCTACATAAAGATCCAGAAACTGGTCGATCTAGAGGCTTTGCCTTTATTCAGTAAGACAAATATTTATTGTATTCTAAATCTTCATTTAATAATCATTATCAATAATTTTATTTCATCTATAATATTTATTCTCTAGATACAAAAATCCCGAAGATGCTAAACAAGCATTAGAAAAAATGAATGGATTTGAATTAGCTGGAAGAACGGTAAGCTATCCTAATGTGTGTACGAATTTATTTAAATCAAGGGCTTATGTGTAACAATTACTTTACAGATTAAAGTAGGTCTTGTTACCGACAAGAGTAACGGAATGAATTTGAATCTTGATGATGGTGGTTTGTATTTTAACTATCATGATTAACTGTATGACTTTTTGTTGTTAGATTTATAATTCGTTGATTAAACTTTCGTATAATCGAATACACATCTTTACCCAAATGAATTTTTTAGATGTTGCTGGTTTAGCTCTCAACGCACAATCTCGGGTTGAATTGATGCAAAAGTTAGCTCGCGATACTGACCTAATTGCTCCTGCATCTGTGCCAGCTTTATCGGAAGTGTCAGTAGCTCCATTTAATAGTCATGTATGGTGTAATTGTAAAAATAACCTAAATTTTTATTTTATTTTATTAATCTAGGCCACGTCCTGTTCAGCCAAGAGTGAATCCAACCCGTTGCGTCTTGTTAAAAAATATGTTCAATCCTGAAGAGTAAGTATAAATTTATCAATGTATTCCAACTGTCCATATAATGCCATGTCCCGTTTGCTTTAAGTTCAAGGCAAATTACAGGACTGGGGTTTATGATTAATTTTGACTCACTAAATTTTCAAAATTTTTTACCTACTTCAGAGAAACTGAACAAAATTGGGCTGAGGAACTCGAAGAAGACGTAAAAGGAGAATGTGTCAAATATGGTGCGGTTGTTCATATTAGCGTTGACAGAGAATCAGAAGTATGTACTTGTGCTAAAATGAAATCATTAAAATTATTTATAATGACACTAAAACCATATTAAAACCATATTCCTTTTTAAGGGAGATATTTATATGAAATTTGATAATGTTGCATCTGCTAAAAATGCAGTGAATGGCCTCAATGGACGATGGTTTGGAGGCAATCAAATCACAGCGGTGTTTATTCTCGATATGTTTTATAACGCTCGATTCCCAAAAGCAGCAAATCTATGATAATTTCGCAGTGCCCGCGATGCTTAAAAAAAAAAAACAAAAAAAAAAAAACAAAAAAAAAACAAACAAACAAAACAAAAAAAAGGAAGGAAAAAAAGGAAAAAAATTTTTTTTTTAGTTTGAATAAGACTGATCGATAATTATTTGTAGATAGTTTTTAGGTGTTTAACGTTGAAATAGAGGACGACTGCCATCAAATGAAGGAAGTCCTTACATTCTGGGTGCGCCGCTGAGAAACCGTAGCAAGAGTAATTTGTTCATATTTGTGGTTAATTGTATTGAAACACCCGATTTCTCATGTTTGGCATGTTGAATTTATTCTTTATACAGTAGTTTATGTGGAAAATTACCACTTCGCGAAGCTATCATTATGATTACATACATACACTAAGGGTTGCAAGAGAAGTTACATTTTTTCATACTTCATTTTTTTTCATTTAATTCCTTGCGTCCTTTTGGTTTTTATTGTATCTTTCTGTTGATCGTGGTCGTAGGATAAACTCTCAATCGCAAGGCCAGTAACTTTCGAATAAAATTGCTACTATATGACAGGTGTGCCGTAGAACGAAATCCAGTATCGGATGCCCTTTGTCAATATGATTTTTACTTTTTTTTTTTTTTTTTTTTTTTTTGATACCGGCGAAAGATCACTCGAAACAGTGCCACAAGTATCATAACAAACGGATCTTCACAGTATCACCAGCATATTTGTCATGGGTTACATAACTATGGCACGTAGATAAAAAAAAAAAAAAAAAAAAGTGAACTGGTGATGATTAATAGTCTGCTTTTATTTTTTGCCAGGTAACTTATATATGAAAAAAAAAAAAAAAAAAAAAAAGTCAGAAAAAACGGACGCCGAAACGCCGATTTATATATTAATTACATAACAGATAATATGTGATTAATCGAATGCAATTTATATCGATATGTTTACTATTTACCGGTACATGATAAATAACGATGAATTGAGGTACTATAAACAGGGTTGATGAATTTTGTGGTGTTGTGATCAGTGTAAAAAATTTAGCTTGAAAAGTATGTGCGCACTCTTATGATCAACCATTAAAATTAGAAAATGTCATGTGCGCTCAGCACATGTGCACGTTCAATTTTATACACTGGTCGTGATGCTTTAAACATATATATGATCAGTGACCCATGAATTGCCCGTATCTTTGTGATGACAACACATACCCAAAATTACTTGATAGTTGGGCAACCAAACATAAATCTATCTTTAATATATTGCAGGCGCAACGCATCATATAATATTAGTATACATAAACGTTTAAGCTTTTTTATATAAACTTCGTAAATTCACTTTTAAACATAGGATTTGTCAAATTCGTCTGTGATGGTGACTTCCAAATGTAAACAACTTGTCAAAACATTCTTTTGCTTTGTAAAACTTATTGATTTAAGTTGGCGATTGTCAGATATCTGAAGCCGAGGATACTACCCTCGATCAAGCGATTCAACAGAGTTAGCATCCAAACTCATAAGTCACAAAATCAGTGTTTTCACCAGAATAATTGATCGTGAAGTGATTGGTAACGCAGCCACAATTCATCAATTAATTGCAATTTTTGTCAGTTCGCTTTGCAAAATTATGCGTCAAAAAATGATAAGATTATGTGGTACCCTAGTTATCATAGTAATTGGCAATCAACTAGCAATTGCTGATCTACATAGTAATATAAAAAAAAAAAATCAGAGTCGCATAATTTTGCAAAGCGCAATAACAGATAACTATGTAACGGTAATAGTTTAATAGGCCTAGTTATCACTGGACCGGTGCAATATTATAAAATCACCATGATTTGCCATCGTATACATTACGGAAAGTCTATGGCACGTACAGATTACGTGATTTACACGTACCAGTACGTACAGCATTTTGAGCGAATATATCACAATAACCGCTTAATTAAAATCGATAAAAAAATTTTAATTCAAATTCTACAGTTACAAAGAATTAAAATAAAAAA